TAGACTGATGCCCTTAATAAATGTCACAATATTGTTACATTATGTTTATTGTTTAGCGACATACTTATCTGCTTTTTCGAGCTGAAATCCAAGTTATCAAATAATCCTGTATGAAAGAGATAACTTTTCCGTCTGCAATTCTTATTTATCGATTATTTTTTGGTAAATAGAGGCGAAATGTCTAAGGCAAAAGATGAACAACAATGAACGCTGCGCTTAGTAAAACGCATGGTTTATGCATTTTTATAAAAAAAAAATGTGATTTGTTTAGGGGGGTGTTTGAAAAATTAAATTCATAAGTGGGTGTCAGACGAAAGAAGTTTAAGAAGTTTTTTTTTAATCTGCCTTATTCTGAGTTTCGTTGGAAAAAAAATTCACCCGAAAATTTGTCAACCGCCCATAGTAAAACCATGGAAACCAATAGTGAAAAAAGAACCGGTTCGGGGAAAATGAAACTCATGACAAGGCTGAATATGTATTTGAAGAGGTTGCCACCTGTTTGAAAAGTCGAATTAAAATAAATTATATACAAGCTTCAACATTGGTCAAAGGAAAGCGTTTTAAGAAAGCTGTAGGTGAAAAGTATGAAACTAACTAAATGAAAGTGAAACATTTTTAAGAGAGGTAAAATTGAAAAAATTCCCCAATTTTTTACGATACAATTGGAAAAACAGTTTTGGAAATTTTTCGAAAGTAACGCAAAAATAATGCGTTTGTTAAATACAACTTTATTTAATAAAATAAAAATCGACGAGCTCAGTAAATTGTTTATTAAAAACAGAAATTATATCTAGTTTTGTGCATAAAGCCTTAGAACATGGCATTTTTATAAATCTAACTAAAGTCTAATTTCCACTATGTCAAACTGAAAGGCATTTATCATCAAATGAGTAAAAAACACGCCGTAAAACTGTACTAAATAACGGTTTAACGATTAATTAATATCAGGATCGTGAACAGGTGCTGCTAAACCGGTTATTTGTTCGTTTTTAGCCCATAATATAATAAACGGTAAAGGTATGGATACTGGAGATAGAGTTGTGCAAAAAATATGTCTCCATACTTAATAAGTTACGTTACGTTAGAAATTTTCGTTAAACTGGGGAACCCTTGTATTTACAATGTACCTACTCACTCATATAGCAACCTGCTGCTGCATGCCAATAAGTTGTGCAGCAGCGCAGGCGCAGTCTTTTGCATGCTATCTATAAGAACAGAAAACATCAAGTGATTAAAAGTCAATGCGAAAAAAGTCGATCCCCTTGACTTCGATCTTGTGAATTTTTGCCTACTCAAGCAGCAATTTTTTTTTATTTTTTTTCTCTCTTAATTTTCAGGTTAACGCTTTACCACTTGCAACCAAACAAGTTGTTACTTCTGATTCTAGCCGCAAGCATTTATTGCACTGTAATTTTCAAATAGTTGATGTTTTACTATGTTTGTATGCATGAGGGAATGCATGTATGTGTGCATGAATCAGTGTTCGGAGCCCTGAAACTTATTTCGGATGTAAATCACTCGGAAAATAGGAGTGAAAACAACATTTCCGTAGTAGATTAACATTTATAATTTAAGCAGAAAATTTCTCTAGAGGTGTTCTCTTTGAAATTTTTTGTAAACTTTAAAAAAAATGTACGAAATAGTAAATCAGCATTTCATAAAGTAGAACATAAATTTCAGACATTTTGTGATAAGTTATCTTGCCAGTATTAGGCCGTGGACCTTTTCTAATTAAATTCTCTTTCTAATATTTATATTTAGTGGGTTTCATGTTTGAATACTTTTTACAACAGCACTGTAATGCAGGAAAGCAAAGCGTAGTATAGGAGTAGACTTTTAAATTAATCAAAAACCGCAGTATATATAAACACTGCGTTCAGAGTGAGGTCCGAACACTGGCATACCTCGCACGTGTTAATACATACATACATATTTAAGTGTGACATTGCACGAGGTGAGGTTCTTTGCTAAATTCACCAATTATTTGCCACACAAGGTAAAATTTCTGTCGAACAACCAACCATCCAACAGCTGTTAAGTGTCATCCAATAGATGTGTAATATTGGCTGAATGCCAAGCTCAAGCTGTTTCACTATTACAGAAATGGCAATTGGCGTCAAAATTACAAAAAAATGGCCGCGTCAGCGCTTGAGAACAGTAATTGTTTGCATTGTGTGTGTGTGTGTGTGTGTGTGTGTGTGTGTGAGTGCGTGCAATTTTGTGGTGACGTTAACCAAAATTTGGCATTGAACTCGCGTATCGAGTAGTGCAAGTGTTTATTATGATTTTTGCATGTATGTAATGTGTGTATGTATGAATGCATGCGAAGTTGCATATAATTGGCGGTTAATGTTCTTTTGAATTTTTATTCTTCTAAATATTTTTATAAGATGAGAACTTTTCTTGTGGTGAGTCGCGATGGTTTTTGCGTGAAACCGCCCGCGAAAAATTATGAAAAATCAATGCGAATTCTTAGCCACTTAATTACTTAGAAATTCTTAATAAAAAGTTTGCTGTTGTTGTAAAAGTTTGTTGAATTTTTCTAATTTTTCTACATAGTTTGAAATTTGGACTTATATAGATGTTTTTTAGATAACGAACTGTATTTCTTAAAAAAAATAATACACACTAAGCAAACAAAAAAAAAATTCCAAAACTGGTCAAAATGCCGTGTCCCAATTATTTTTCACATGAGAAAAAGTCAACAAAGTGTTCTCAAAATTTTAAATTTTTCACCTTTAATCAATCCCAAATAACTTGAAGTGACCACAAAATACCGTTGAATTTTACATTACACCGTGGTCACTAATTTTTTTCCTTACAAAGAATGTTTCACAATTTTTTTTTTTTTTTTTGTATGCAGGAAATCGCACAACACCATCCACAAAAAAAAAATTGCCAAAAATCAGTGATATCTTTCAGCCACTTCAAACTTGCGCTTTATTTTTCTGGAATCGAAAGGATGTATAGCCAAAAAAATCTTCTAGAAACTCCGTAAAAAGTGTGAAATTTTGATGAAACTTTTTTTGTATTCTTGTGCAATGTTTGAAACTTTGATAAATTAATCCGCCTTATCATGAGTTTCATTTTCCCTGAACCGGTTCACTTTTAACTTTTGCTTTCCATGTATTTCCTATGGGCGAAATCCAAATTTTCGGGTGAGTTTAGAGTTTTTCTGAAAATATGATAAGAAAGTTGTAATTTTATTGAATTTTCCTGAGTTTTGCACTAGGTCTAGAGATTTTATTTGTATATATTTTGTTGTATGAATTATATTTGTATAAAAAAATTAGCGGGAAGAAATTAGAATAAAAAACTTTGCATACATTAGGAAAAATTCTCTGTGCCAATACTTTTTCCCCGGCGCTATATGTACGTTAGGTCGATGCTACTACAGTAGAAGATAGCACATATAAATTTCGATCCCTATAGGACACAATTAAGGCATGTCGCACTGTGGGCAAAGGTGAGATTACTCTATGAAGACAACTTAACCGATTCCAATCGGGACGAAAATTTATATGTGATATCCTCGACTTTAGTAGTATCGCTTTTGGGTATTAAATGAAAAAAAAAAAATTATTTTTTTAGTCCATCTGGCCTTTAACCCCCTTGCGACACGCCTTAACCGACTCCAATCGGGACCAAAATGTATATGTGATATCCCTGACTATAGTAGCATCGACTTTGGGTATTAGATGAAAAAGAAAATTATTTTAATTTTTTTAGTCTCCGTAGAGGAATCTGTGCGACACGCCTTATTCGTCTCAAATCGGTAAATCTGTACCAAAATTTATATGTGATATCTTTGACCCTAGTATTACCGATTGACGAGACTGAAAAAAAAACTTTCATTTGATTTACGGACCGCCCTAATATGCATATAATAAAATATATCAAACCGTATGGAAATATTTTCCATTTAAATTTTTATGTTTTTTTGACATTAGATGTATTCAGCTAAAATTTGGTTGTCACTTCTATGTACATACATACCTTGCTGAATATAAATATCATTCTCTAGTCTTCGATTTTTTAGTACCTTTAAGCTCTTACTGTTGAGGCCGCGCGGGAAATATTTACTGGACAACATTCAATAGTAAATATCCTCTCTCTCTCTCTTAATTAATAAGAGACTTAAATTGTATATTTTAAAAATGGCGCAAAAATAGCTAAATATATTCGAAATTATAATAAAACCGCATAAGCATCAACTAATTAACATTAATTTTACATAAATAATTTGGTCGAGCCTCAAGTGAAATACATATGTACATACATACTTTCAGTGCATAACTAAAGATTCACTTGTATCTACATACATAAAAATCGGTAAAAACCACTAACCAATAAAATCTTACACGAAATTCTAATCAAATCTGCATAAATACTCGTCTGTAAGAATCTTATTTAGCACACTTGCTGCCTGTCAAACAAACACTTACTCAATTCTATAAATCGAATTCAATATTCTAAGCACAAATTTTTGAATGCTTAATGTATATTTTTGCTATTTACTATGGATTTGACTATTTTGGCTGCTAAACTTACCAGTATGTACTCATACACATGCATGCACATGGCTGTATATACATATGTACATGCATTTGTATGTATGTATGTTTGTAAGCTAGAAAAAACGCTTAGCACGGATCAAATTAAACATTTGCCATCAGAATTGTGAACGCGCTCGTATGGAGCAGTACTCGCAGCTCAGACGCTCTACGAAATTCGAAATACATACTGGTATTCCGCGAGTGCTTACATACATACATACATATGTATGTTTAAAAATATTTATAATACTTGAGAATCTTTTTGCAATACATACATACATACAAATTCATAAGTTTCGTTACATTTGAATTTTGCACGCGTTGCATTTCCATCAATGAAGAATGTGGGGAAAAAGAACAGTATTAAATATTTAATTCATCAAAAAATTTTGCTTGTTAATTTTATGTATTTCATTGTGTGTTTGTTTATTTTTTCATTCGTAGAACGAAAGACTTGCATACATAGAAACAACAGCGAAAATGGCGACCTATATAAAAATTTTCAATGAGCGCATTTCCGGTCTCTCAAAAGGCGTTGGTGAGTAGAAAATTTTCCTAAAAAAAAAAAATCGAGTTGTGTGGCAAAAGTGAAGTGTTGAACTAGAAATCAAAGAAGCAGCTGATTATGGACGATTATACGAAATACTTTGTGTTTAAATTCGAATTTCATATTTTTTTTTCTATAATTTTGTAAATTCGTAAAAGCTCTTGCAGCAGGAAAGCAAATTAAGTGAAAAATGATTTTAATTTTTTGAATTTTATATGGAAATTGACAGCAAATAAAAAAAAAAAACATTTTCCATTTAAACTGCTGGTGATATCGGCTGTTAAAGTGTAAAAATATATTAAATTAAAATGCTACAAGCTATCCCATCCAACTTGGGTTAATTTCAGAAAAATAAACGGAATTTTTTTTTAAGAAAAAAAAAATATGAATGTGTGCGTACATAAAAGATGAATCAAGAAAATGTGAGACAGAGAGAAAAAAACGTTTTATGTACTTGTACGAAAGATAATTCTCATATACGTATTGCTAGGTCCAGTTTTTAAAAATTTCACAGGAGAGAATAAAAACCTTTAAAACTAGTTTTCTTCGAGCACTTGTTTTGTTCAAATTTTAATACAAGTTTTCGCGTACTCCAAACAATTCCAAACGAATTGAGTTCCACTATGTTGATGAAATGTCACATATTCTGTGACTATTTTGAACTTAGCAAATTGGCATTTCAGAGAAACGGTTAGAAACAAAATAGGATGGTCGGTCTTTAAGAAAATATAGCATTTTTAATTGTTTTTGCTTCTTGCATCAAAATATGTTTTTTTTTAGAAAAAGCAACTTTTCACCTTTGTTGGCGGACGTAAGTTTTTAATATTTTGTTTTTAAGTTTAAGTCGAAACTATGTTTTAGTTTTTTTTTTTTTAAGTTAACGATAATAGATTACTTTAATATTTTTGAAAACACACACTTCGTTTTTATTTCTAAAACTCTTTTTTCAACACTTTTTATTTTTTTTTATTGGGGTCACTCGGGACCCCATGCTTGTGTGATTTTCACTATGCGCCTAATTAAGGGTCAAACCTATTTCATTCTTTTTTTTTTAAAACTTTGAGATTTAAGTGAGCAAATGTCCTGACATTTTGAGGCTTTCTTATATATTTTTTTTATAAATATAGGGTGATCCATGTAGTCCTTGGTTTTTTAACTGTAAATGTAAAACAGAAGAGAACTGAATGTCTGAATCTTTATTATCACCCGAAAGAACATTCTCTGACATTTCCCTTTTAACAATAATTTCACTCAAATGTTGACCGCAACTACGCTGTATGTAGTCCAATTTCCATTTACTCTTTTCAGCACGCGAGTAATGTTAAAGTTTTGAGTCATAGCTAGCTTTTCGGTGATGACTTCTCATAAACCCGATAACTTGCTGAAATCAAATGTTGCGAAATTCACGTGCTTAAATTTCAGGCGGTAGCGTTCGTTATTAACCGACTTCCAAAAAAGGAGGAGGTTATCAGTTCGTCGGAATATTTTTTTTTTTTTTATGTATGTTACCGCATAACTTTGCACCATGTCAACCGATTTCAATAATTATTTTTGCAACGGAAAGGTAGTGTCTCAGAGGTGGTCCCATACTAATTTGGTTTACATCCGATCATTGGATCATGAAGTATATAGATATATATATATTTTTTTAAGTCGTTTTTTTTTTGCTAAAAATTACTTGTTTACGGTTATGTTCTGTCTTCGGGCAAAATATGAATGAAATTATTAAAAAAAAAAGTGTCAGAGATTCTTCTTTCGGGAGATAATAAAGATTCAGAGATACAGTTCTCAGTTTTATTTCTTATTAACCGACTTCCAAAAAAGGAGGAGGTTATCAGTTCGTAGGAATATTTTTTTTTGTTTTTTTTTTTTTGGTATATATTTACAGCAGCTAACAGGTCTTTCTGGGTTGATAAAAAAATTTTGTAACCGATAACTAGAGTTAGGTCCAGTTTTTTAATAGGAGTTTTTGATTTTTTGCCTACAAAATATTCGATAACAATCAGAACTGGCTCGTATTCAAAACTTCTCTGATGCCTATAATCATATATGTAATGCTTCTATATTGCTAGTACAATATGATCGCAATGAGTTTTTCATTCGAAATCAAAGAAAGACAACATTCAACAAACAAACACAAATTTGACGGTCTCATGTTTCCTTCACGCTGAAATGTATATCGAGCCCTAGCCGCGAAAATGAAGTAAGACAACTTTTTTCAAAACTTAATTTTGATGCATAAATGCCTCTTAGAGCACCTGCACCAAAAAGTAATTTAAAAAAAATGTATATATTTATACATTATTTTAGCGGTTAGGGCTCGGTAAGACGAATTTCTCCGATGCTCCTCGTTATTTGGAAATCTGAAAAATTGGAAGATAGAAGATATTTTCCTAACAAAGACAAAACTTATTTACACATAAAGAGGTGTGGTATTTTATATGTTGGCCGAATCCAATAAAGCATGTTATTCGATTCCCTTCTATGCTGATTGACGCCAATTGGAAATGCCAACTGATGCCAAGTCCTTCTCTAACTGGTATACATATTTATCCTCTGCCACCACCAACGGCCGCAGCGCTTCTCATAGATCTACACAAATTTAATTTTTTGTTAATTATTCATAAGAGTTGTTTTTAAATGAAAATTTGTTAAACCGCTCCTGAATTTTGAAAAGTAAAATTATCATTTTGAGTACATTCTCTTATCGGATCTCTCTTACTTTTTTCAATATTTCGGCACTCTAATGTTGGGGAATGTACTTTGAATGTACTAGCAATATAGAAGTATTACATATATGCCTATAATTAAAAATTTCCAAGACCGATTCTGGGATAAAAATGATGTGCCTATTCAAGTTAAGCGGGGTACATTGGAGCTATGAAGCATTTCTCAAGGCGAATTTATATAAGGTGGTATTAATAGATCAGCTGATTTTTTGTATGTGTTTCGCCTCACGGCATCTTATGTCAAATTGAAAAATTTTGTTTGAATTTCCACACATACTCTTACAGATTTTGACAGTTTATGCCGCCAAAGCAAAAACAAAGTACATGTAAGTTTTTGTTTTTGTACTCCTGCTATCACCTTATATAAATTCGCCTTGGCATTTCTGAATAATTATAAAAAAATAAAAATAAGTGAAGTAAGTAGGCTTACATTTTAGTTTAAAAAACAAAATAGTTCAAAAAGTCAAACAAGTTTTTGAGTGTATACAAAAGTGTACTGTTCTCAGTTCGATTAAAAGTAATAACTATTTTAGCTGGGGTTCAAGAAATAATGATTAATGCCAGTTACATCCGTCAGGAGGTTGAACTTCACTCACTAGGATATTTGTTTAATGAAAAAATTCTGACACACGCGGGTAATCATACTACCAGTTTGATATATATGTATATGATAAATATTTTTGGCTAAAAGATACAAAAAATAGTAAACCTTTTATCTATAATTTTTATTTTAGCTAATAGAGTAAGACATGCGAACTGTAATTTTATTTTTGCAGATGAAACGGTGGATGGCTGGTTTTTGATGAGTTCGCCTGGGCCTGTCGCCTCAATTGTTGCGCTCTACCTGCTTTTCGTTCTCAAAATAGGACCTGCATATATGCGTGATCGCAAACCGTACGATTTGAAGAAAGTCATGGTTGTCTACAATGCATTCCAAGTTGTTTTCTCTATATGGATGTGTCGCACAGTAAGTACTTGAGATTATTTTGGAGCTAGTGAGAGAAAAAATTGTAAAAGTACTAGCTGCTTTGCAGATTAAACTGCAAGCTTCTGGTGAAAAAGGGCTATAAGGTTTGAGTAGAGCTACATAGATCGGTTGTATTCTAAAACTAATGTAAAAATTAGGCAAAATATGTATGCAGTTAATTTATAATAAAGTAACACATGCAAATTACATGAGTTGATACGGTATTGCAACTTGAAGAAGAAAACTTCATCAAGTACGTTTCGGACTTTCTTGTCAGTTCAGTCAAATTAGACCTCAATCCTCAACATATTTTTCAGGGTACAAAAGTTACTGCAAAACACAAGCTAAAGGTTCACTGATAGATCGCTTAGATATTTCTGGAAGCGGCCCTTTAACCGTAATATTATAGCATTTTCAGTTTAAATTAAACCATTTTAATCTTTTACTAAGCGAAACCCTTTCAAATTAAATTACACCTTTTTCAGATTCAATGAGACTATTCAAGTTAAATGAAATTTTTTTCAAATTAAATGAAACATTGTTGAGTATTAAACATTATTAAATTAAGGCACAGGAAATCGACTTAACCTATTAAGGACCGCTTTCACCATGTCTGGTTAATTCTAACTCCCAGTTAAACATCGTTAACGACACCCACCTTATAACATGTGATCGATAACAGTCGATTTGCTTATCTGAACGATGTACCTCCATTTAGCGTTAACTGGACATGGTTTAAATGGCCAAAAGAGCAAAAAAAAAAAAGTTTGCACCATGTCTGACTAATATTTACTTAACCCCAGATACACATCATTATCGACGACATGCTTATAACAGGGAGTCGATAACGCCGATTAACTGGGAGAAAGGGTTAACCCGACACGATGCAAGCGGCCCTAAGTCATAGTTTATAAAATTAATGAAGCGATAGTTTCTTCAATTATATATGGTAACTATCTTGCGATCAGGAGCTATGTAATTAAGAATGATCGGGCATCCGCACCCTACTTTTATACAAGTTTTAATTTATCTTACAAATAGTACCTCTTTTTGAACTTCCAGCACTCTAAGAACAGTATGATTGATAAGGCTTTGTAATTTTATTTCTGCTGAAATATCTGAAATTAAAATCGCTTCGCTTGGGTAGCACCTCTTCTTCGCAGCTATTATGTAATTTAGTATATGATGGATATAAATTAGAGCAGCGTGCCTTTGCACCAGACTGCATTACAGAGAGAGCCTTTGAAAATCCTCCGTTCACATATATATATATATATATAAAGCTAAAGCTTCATCTGGCGTGTAAGGAATTGTCCTTGAATTTTTCTCGGCCTTTTTCCTTATTTTGGCCTTTGACCTTGAAAAACATTCAGCACACATTGAATGAATGGGGACTTTTGACAATTTATTTGTAATGGTGTTTTTAAGACCTGTGGCTCTGCTTTTTTTGAATTTGTGTAAATCGAAATGTCTATTGGGACTGGTGTAATTGCCCGCTATATTACATTCTCGATATACCAGAAAAAGTAAGACGTCTTTCAAGTGCCGAAAGAACCACCAAAACAAAAGCTTTTGTTAATATATCGACGATTGATTGGGAGATGGACCTATCTCGCCAGCCGGTTCGAAAACGGCCTAGCTCAGAAAATTGCACAAGAATGCCCTATTTCAGAATTTTCTTGAAGAATTCCTTTGCTCAGAATTTAATTGAAGAGCGCCTTACTCGAGCAAATGATACGAGAACTTTCTATCTCGATGTAAATTCAATTTATCGTCAGCTGGGATAGAGCGCTTTACGACGAAATTCTGAGTTAGGACGTTATTTAATTAATTTCTGAGATAAGCTATACTTCAACCAATTTGCTGAGATGGGGCCGGATGCCAAGATATGTCGATCTTCCACTCAGCCGTCGATATGTATTAAAATGTATCGTCATCAGAAATTTAAACTCTGGGTATAGAAGATATTTGTAAATGTACGTGACTTGGTGTACATTTTTTAATGCATTTCTAAATGGCTCTTCCGAATGGTCGGTTTCACACTGCAACATTTCTGCCACCAAAACAACTCTGCTTGTAGGTAAGAGAGGCAGTGCGGTGAGATAAAGTTTCTCTTAAGTTCTTCTAAACTTTAAAGTGGTAGTTCGGCTTTAGCGCACTAACACATGCGCAACTACAAAAATGCTGCTACGTAAATTTCAAGCGCAAAGTTACATTGTTTTGCCTTTTGTTTGGACCCGATTGTTGTCGGATCCATAGTCTCTTCCCTTTTCCAAGAATGGCGCTATACTACTTTGACGACCATACGTCCTCAATTTAGATTGATATGGCAGAAAAAAGTATATAATTCGCGCTTAAAGGCGTAGTCATTATTTAGCGATGTTTTTTTCTTGTGACCTTATAACATTATTGCTGGTTTTGTCAATATTTCAGTAAAATGATATGTTGATTTTCACATACATACATACACACACTAGCATTAGTAAATTACATAATCTTTAAAGAAATTTCTCTTTTTTCTTGTAGTCTATACGGGAAAGTAATGTTGCCGCCTCAATACTCTCAAAGAAATGTGAAATTGTACGCAATCGCGAACAAAACTTGATGCTCTACTCCGGCGCCTGGTATTACTTCTTCTCTAAGATAATTGACTTATTGGATACCACCTTCTTTGTGCTGCGCAAGAAACAAAATCAAGTTTCATTTTTGCATGTCTACCATCACACCATAACAGCACTCTTCTCGTGGGGATATCTTAAGTATGCGCCGGGTGAGTAAACAATTTTTTTTTTGTCTTTCATATAAAAGGTTTCTCTTGCTCAAACATGTCATTCATTGTCTCAATCTCTTTATAGGCGAGCAAGGCGTCATTATTGGCATTCTCAATTCTGGCGTTCACATCGTTATGTATTTCTATTACATGGTTGCTGCTATGGGTCCCCAGTACCAGAAGTATCTTTGGTGGAAGAAATACATGACCTCCATCCAACTCATACAGTTCGTACTAATTTTGGGCTATATGGTTATGGTTGCTGCAAAGGGTTGCAATATGCCGCGTGCGCTCACTTTCTTCTTTGTCGGCAATACGATCATCTTTTTATATTTATTCGGCAATTTCTACAGAAAGACCTACAATACAAGAAAGGCGGCTGCAGCAGCAGCAGCAGCTAATGGACACGCAAACGGTCATGCAAACGGTTATGCCAAGGCTTATGCTAATGGTCATGCGAACGGTTCGATTGCTGGACGCGCCCTGCTCGCGGCTGCCGGTGGCATGGGCTGCAATCCGACGAACTCGCTGCTAGCACATGGTGATCAAATGAAGCGCCTCATTGATGTCAATAATAATCATGTAAAATTGGCGAAGAGCGAATAAGTGCCGATCGCAAGTGGTTGTGGCAATTGATGGCAAAGTACAAGTGTGCAGGGGTAAAAAAGAATATGGGAAGGGTAATATATACACACATTATTGGAAGATGATTACAGGGTGTTGATGAACGAAAGGTCAGCAAAAATGATTTTCGCTTTTAAAAAATCATATCCGCAAGTAACACTTTTCAAGGGAATACAATTTAATCAAAAATGTAGAAGCCGCGATAGTTAAGTTAAAATAGAAAAAAAATAAGTAAATTAATTTAATTCAATTTAATTCAGTTTAATTTAATTATTTTCTTTGCACACTAAAACAGACAAAATGGAAAAAACAATGAATGAACTTTTAATTCCCTAGTACGCACTTACACATTCGAAATTATTAAATAGAAAATCTTCTAACCAAACAAAAAAGACAAAATATATAAAAAAAAAAACGAATTGTTAACGTGGTAGAACTTAAATGAAAACAAAAAAACATATGGCTATGTAAAATTGTGCACAATTTTCACTTTCGCAATCCAATATTGGTTCAAACATTTTTTACAAATTATCTTTATTGCAATAACTATTATTTTGTACAAACAACAAAGAAAAATATGCACCACATATCACAGTATAAAAATACACACATACATACATACTTGCATACTCTAATAGTGTTAAGTAGATATAATTTTTCAATGTATTTTAAACAACTTAAAGCATATTGTGAGAGTCTATTGGGTGGGTTTGTTAGTATTTAGTGTTATTGCAAATTATCAAACTTACTTTACTTGCACCTTACAACATGTGTTAGGGAAGAAAATGTTTGAAGTAAAAAAGAAAAAAACAGACTAACAACTAAAAACTGCACTTAAAATTGAATTGCCGCCTCTTCTGTGATTGTGTTTGTATGCGTGCGTGCGCGTGAATGAGCAAATGTGTAAATCAAAAAAGATGTCCAAAAATGGAGTTGTACATAAAATAAGGAGTTTCCGAAACTACAAAATGAAATCGAAACAAATTTTTTCTTTTTAACAATTTTTTTTTAAACAATTCCATAATTTTTGTGTTTTTCTACATACACATGTGTGTTTGTATTCTAATTAGGGAGCGGCGAATTCATTTACAATATATTTACCTTGTATGTATATTTAATACGTAAGAAGTAAATAAATAAATATTAATTTAAGTATTTCTTAACGAGTTATAAATTTTTATATGTAGCACATTGCTGAATATTTTTATGCTTATATGTAATTTACATACTATTTGCTTTGATAGAAATAAACGAAAATTTTACTACAGAAAATTTATAAATATAATACGTAAATACTCGCAACTTACTGGTTATAAGATTAACTGCAGAAAGCAATATCAGACCGGGTCGTCACTGTCCCACCTATTTACAGAACAATGAGGTGGAATCAAAACTTTCTCTTAAGCTGCCTAGGTTTTGTGAGGCTACGAAAAATATTTACAAAATAAGTTCTTCGTAACAAAAATTTATCATTTTATCTTAAATATTGACACTGTTGTGAAGTTATAATAACGACCAAAAATATTTGATTTCTGTGAGAGAAAATTGGGATTAAGCTTATTTAGCTTTTTTTTGCACATTAGCCTTCCCTCTGAAAAAGTAATGGCAACACTGATGACAACAAGTGATGAGCCGGTTCTTGGAGTATTTGAGATCTTTACAACGATATGGACCTAATGCAGTGAAAGTATTCAACTTGGAACCCGCTGGTAGTGGCAGAGGAAGAGCGAGGCCCCCACAGCGATGGGAAGACCCAGTAAAGGAATTGGCTACAGTTGGCATTTAAAATTGGCATCAGTTGGCAAAGAGCAGAAACGACTAGCATGCTTTGTTGGGCTCTGCCAACATCGATTATACTAGGTTTACCTATAAGAAGATTATCCTCATTTTTGAGCTTAAATCCCTAATCTATAATTAGAGAAAGAGATTAGCCATACAAAATACGACACTCGTTAATATGTAGTTATAAAAAATCACAGATAACTTTTCGGTTTCCAACCAAGTTTTATCGAATATTTTTGCGAAGAAGAGAAAAAATGCCAATAGTGAAAGTAAATAAAAATGGACACTAGCAAAGAAAAGAGGCAGCAAAAAAAAAATTATAGGACATTTTTAGCGAATTTGAACTTAGGCTCTATTATACTAATAAAAGGTGATAGGCTACAAATCTGCATTTAAACATTTTTCTAGAAATTCTAATTATAAATTTAGAAATTTTGATGAAAATTAAATGATTTTTTATAATTATTGCACAAATTATGCAATTTAGATTTATATTGCTTTTGTTAGAAAATGAGCTATACCTTTATAAAAAAGTAATGAATAAAATTACGTATGTGTTATATTGAGTGTGGGCCACTGTACAGTACCTCACATATGTATACGTACGTATACAATTTTCTGTTGGATAATGGTCCAATGCAGGGACCGAACATAACAGTTATTGATGGAAACAGTCATGGAAAAATTTACTATGAAGGAAATGTTCTACAACTAAATGAAATATACAAATCGATTTATTTTTTCACCGACACTCAAATTTGAAAATAAATTTTTTTTATTTTTATTTTATTTATAAAAGTCATCAATAAAAATGAGCAGTGGCTTTTACTTTTAAAAGTCATCAATAAATATAAACCACTCACCGACTTTTATTTCTTAAATCATTCGTATAAAAGTCACTAACATTTTTCGCAGTTAAAAAGGGGGTGGGAAACAAAAGTTTACTACGATTTATACAAATGACTTTTGAAAGTATGATTTAAAAAATATGGGTAACTGACTGATATTTATTTATGACTTTTATGACTAAATAAAAAGCTTTCAAACCCCTTTTCGTTCGATACCCGCCTTTTTATATTCCAGTTAAATAATTTAATAATTTAAATTTAAGTTTTTAAACAGATGGCAACCCTCTTGAAACCCCTCAAAAATATTCTTAGTGTTCAAGCTAAAGATTTCTTAATCCTCTTTCCTTGAACATCCATATTTTTATATTTCATACAACTTGTGTATAAGCAGGGCCGGATTTACTTTAAATGCCGCCCTATGCCCCGTGAAAATGACGCCCTTTTATCTTGAAACTACTTGAAACATTAGAAAAAAGTGTATTACCATCCATTTTTTTTCGAAAAAGTCAAGTTTTCGTTGATTGATATTTAAAAAAATATCGAAATGGCAACATTGGGATAAGAACCTGGTGACAAGCAATTAGTAAGTTTGCCATTTTAATTCCACAACTCGTATAACCTACAGCCATTCGTCGGCTTCAATGAATTTCAGGACATCATACCGAGGGACGCAGCGCAAAGGGGTTCAAAATTGGCATTTTGTGTTCACAATTCACTGGAGCCTTAATTTTTTTCTCAATCGGGTTAATTTTTAAGATACCAGTTGAGCCCGATTTTTGAATTTTTGTTTGTTTGTATTAAATATTTCAGTGTAAATTGCAGAAAAAGTTGCAATTTTGCAGAAAATCGTTTCTCCTTGTCCAGTTAATAAATATTACATAATAAAAACTAGCTGAAAACTCCTGTAGGGTTCCGCTAAAATAAAAAAATTCACAATAAAAATTTGAAATGTAAAAAAAATTTAACCAAAATTAAAAAAAAAAATGTTGAGTGTCTTGAAAAATGTAGGGTATGTAATTTCGAAGATCTTTAAATTTTAGTATAAGGAAGTGCAATTTGCAAGGGGCTAAGAGGTCGCGTTGATTTTTAATATTTTTTTTCGCTAACATTTCGAGCATATCTGTATGCTAAATGGGAAATAAAATCGTTTGTTGTATTTATAAAAATCAACACGAACACTTAGCCACTTGCAACTTGCACTTTATTACACTAAAATCTAATGATCAATAAAACTGCATACCCAAAATTTTTATAGAAACCAAACAGAATTTTTTTAATTTTGGTTAGATTTTTTTTATATTATTTCAAATATTTTTCTCCCGTTTTTGGGAGACCCTACAATTGTTTTCAACTAGGTTTTATTATGTAACATTTATTAACAGGAACAGGGGAATCGAGTTTCTTCAAAATTGCTATTTTTTTCTGCAACTTGCACTAAATAAATTAATACAAACAAACAAAAATTCAAAAATCGGACAAAACTGGAAATCTTTCAAATTCTATTAGCTTCCATTTTGAGAAGAAAAATAATCAAACTGAGTGAGAAATGAAGGCTCAAGTGAATGTGAACACAAAAAGCCAGTTTTGAACTACTGTGCAGCAGCACTCTGGAATATTCGGCAAGAATGGTTTGCTGAGTGTCCTTAGCCTCATCCAGTCTACTCAAATCCATTCAAATTCAGTTCAAAGTCCATTCAAAACTCTTTGCTTTCTTTCCGGAACATATTGGTAGCCTCTGTTGGTAAAAATCTTAGAAAAAAATACAGCTAAAAAGTTGGTAGATCTACCAATAAAATCGTAAAGTCCGTGCACTGGCCTCATCCTTGCGACGGCTGTACACTTGCCCAGAAAGTATTCGACTGTCTCGTTTAAGCCCGGGTCATTGCAACTGCGACGGGACCTATTGAAGGTTAAGCCAATCCTTTTGGCATGTACACCAACAGGCTAGTACCCGGTGCACATTGCAGTAAGTCTGTCGCTATCTTCTTTGCTCGTTCCTGAAAGAACTTTGGTTTTAAGTGGGTCGTAGGAACTGCCTTTACGATCCTGTACAGTTTCACCTCTGTCTGGCCTTCAGTGATACATTTCGGTAATTTTTGTTTTGATCTTCCTGAGCGATGCCCCGATGTCCATCGCGTGTTATACATACATTCAGTGCGGAGCAGCGCCTTGCTAGTTCGTCCGCTGCCTATGCCCAGCGACAAATATTGCGACACATATTAGGGTGATTTCGTATAGATCAGAAATCGAGGCCCGCTCCCTCCTACGGTTATGCACTAGTTGAGATCTAACAAAGGTAAAAGAGAGTAAATGAACAGGCGCTTGGCTAGCCGTTGCGTTCTATGGGAGTCCATTCTCTTTGATGTAACCCTAGTCTCTCATTAATTACCAGGAAAACGCTTACATAATCAGGTAGGTGAAACGATAACTTTAGGTTATATGAAACCACTGTACTACCCTCGAACGGTCTTTCCTTCCCGAGCCTCAAAGGCCGAAGTCTGATGGCAGCTGAGTTTTCCACAAAAATTAAAATAAAATAAGAAAAACGTTCAGAACAACCTTCGGACAGGATTTCATTCCACCTGTTACGCCAGTGGCTGCTGACCCTTGAATTCCTCATAGTTTTTTAACTAAATAGTCTTTATTAAGGGCTGGCCACTAGACTACCGCCCCATAAGAGAGTATGGGTCGGACTATAACTATGTCCTCCAGTGCACAATTCTTGGTTAAATGTATGGCTTCTATTTAAGTTTGGGATCCAAAATAACTCCAAGGTATTTCAGCTTGTTTGACAGATCCATTTTCGTTCCTTGGTTTAGTAAAATTGGGTAATTTTGTTTTAGTTGTGAAAGCATAAAGTGAGTTTTCGATCTGCTATATCTTGCGAACACCGCGTACTAGGCTTAAGCCCTTAACAGATTTCAAAGAGGTCCACTACAA